TATATATATAAACACACACACACACACACTAGAATATATTACAAAATATAATGAAAATAAATATAAATTAATAAAAATAAGCATAATAAAAACATGATAAAACAATCATTCCAAAACTAAATTACATCTAAGAATAATAGAGTAAGAAATCATTTAAAAATCTAAACTTTGTGTTTGGAAAACCTGTTTGAAAAGTCATTATACTAACAAAAACTGAATGAAAACATTTTCCTTAATGGAAATAGAAATTAAAAAAAAAAAACATTACTGGGAAAAATTTTCTAAATCTAATTCAAAATATATGCAAAACTAAACTAAATTAAAGAATATTCTAATTAAATGTATACTAACTAAATATAACAAAAAATGCAAATACACATAATAAAAAACAAAACTAAATTAGAACTAACAAAGTGAGAATACATTTTTTAAAAAGTCAAAACTGTAATGTATTATTATCATTTGTTATCAGAAGTATAAATAAAAATAAAAATTAACACTAAAATATTTAAATAAACTAATAGACATTTACAAGACTCCAAAACTAAATAAACATACAGTACATAAACATTATTTATCAATTTTGGTGTTGCAGAAATGGCTAAAATAATAATAACGAATTGGCAACTGGTAATGTTGTCCAGGGCCCTGTGACAGCAGAGACCCATGCTTATCATTTTCTATTGATTCCTATGAATTTAAAGATCCCTGGGTCAAGGCAGGAGAAAAATTACATACTTTGAGAGAGAGAGAGAGAGAGAGAGAGAGAGACTAGAAAAAAGGCAGAAAATAAGTATACTGTACCTCCTCACAGGGTCTGATGAGCCGAACAGCTCGCAGCGTGAGTCTCTTGCCCTCAAAGATCATGACACAGTTGGGCTGGCAGTCTTGGTTCAGCAGAGACATGCTGAACAGACGAACACAAAACAAACTCTTCAACCATGTTTAAGCACAATTCACCAGCACAGTGTCTCAATGAATTTCTCATCCTTAATTAGGCCTTCATGAGGATACATTTCGGGACTAGTGAGGTTTTAGGACAGAGGCTGGTCGCTTTAGATAAACATCTGCTAAACTACAAGAGTAAGAGTAAAATTCACTTTACTAGATTTACTTCTTGTCCATGTAAAACAGAGTGCTCTGCCAATGATTTGTTATTTAGTATTAAAATAATATTATATTAAATAACATTACGTTTTTTTTCTGTTGTTTGCACAAACCCAGACTGATTTGACAAATAAGACCCAAAGGTGGTGAATTTAGTTCAGCCTGTCAAAACTCACAACAATTCTATTTTTCTAATTAAATGAATTATTATATTTTAATAGTTTTTTCCTCATCAAACACTGAGATCAAATCAAACTGCAAATCCCACATTATCTCAATTTTCTCTTGATCCAAATAAATAATACACAAGGACTGCTAAATAATGGAACATACAGTAAATCGGGCATCACTAATTAATTAACTAAAGAAACAAGTTGCTACAGTATGGAGACACAGAAAACTAAAAAGCTGACATGTTTGCCAGCGGGATATTTGTCCTCTTGAATGCGATTTGATGTAACCTGCATCAATATATATTTATATATATTAATTTTATTTAAAGGGGTCATAGGATGCCCATTTTCCACAAGTTGATATGATTCTTTAGGGTCTTAATGAAAAGTCTGTAACATAGTTTGGTTAAAATTTCTCAATGGTAGTGTAAAAAAACACAGTTTTTCCCGTAAAAAACGGCTTTTTTCAGATCAAGCCGTTTTTGTAGCATTTTCCTTTAAATGTTAATGAGCTCTGCTGACCCCGCCCCTCTCTTCCCAGCTGCTCTCAGAGAGACTGTTTACTTTAGTCGCATTCATCGTGAAACTTGCTAATTAGCACATTATTAGGAAAGGCGATTTGCAAAGATTCATTACAAAACATTATACTCACTTCTTCTGTAGATGAGGCTGGATCATGAATGATTTGCACGAACATTGATGCATTAATATTGATCGGGGGTGCATTCTCTTCAGAAACAATGTAATCCACTGCGAGCTCAGCGGCTCACATGTCGGGAGTAAATGACGACTGCTGTTCATTATTACATCCAACAACAGAACACCTCAATCGCTTAGGAGTCATTCTTGTCTACATCTGCTCCGGCGGTGAAACAATGGCAGACTGATGACAGTCACTCAGGGCGGGTCTAAGGTAGTCCAGTCCAGTCTGTGCTGAAACGCTACTGTCAATCAAACGATCGTGGGAGGGGCCTGTCTGTGTGGTGTCACACAGACAGGCATCTGAGATCGGCTCGATTTGAGAAAGGGGAAAACATTTAACCAGATTTTTAAAAAAAACACACGGTGGATTTTTATCATTATATGGTGGTTGTGTACACACACTGCCAACACACATTTCAGTTCAAACAACTTGTAAAAGTGCATGTAGCATCCTATGACCCCTTTAATTATTTCCTTTTTTTAAAATACATTTTTAATTATGTGGAACACAAAAGTAGATATTTTTCAGCCATGTTCCTAAGAAAGTGTACAGTGACGTATAAAGCCAAGCTCCAAAAATGACTGATTCTTTAATGATTAATTAATGCAACATATTTTAAAATGAACAATACAAGGTGCGTATACAGTATGTACTGTGTGTGTAAACCATGTTTGAAGTCTCTTCATGTCAGCTTGTACTCCATTCCAGCTTGTGGGAAGTCGTGGTTGTGGGAAGTCGTGGCCTAATGGTGAGAGAGTTGGACTCGTAACCCAAAGGTTGTGGGTTTGAGTCTCGTACCGGCAGGGATTGTAGGTGAGGGGAGTGAATGTACAGCACTCTCTCCCTGTGGAACACAAAAGTAGATATTTTTCAGCCATGTTCCTAAGAAAGTGTACAGTGACGTATAAAGCCAAGCTCCAAAAATGACTGATTCTTTAATGATTAATTAATGCAACATATTTTAAAATGAACAATACAAGGTGCGTATACAGTATGTACTGTGTGTGTAAACCATGTTTGAAGTCTCTTCATGTCAGCTTGTACTCCATTCACATTCACACAAGTATGACAGAACAAACACAGCAATTATAAATCTAGCACGAAAGCACAATTATCCTTTATATGTGGATAGGAATACATGCTATCCGGCTCTTCCAGGCTTCTGCTAATGCATCGGAAGTCATTCAAAAAGCCAGATGTAGATGAGGCTGGATCATGAATGATTTGCACGAACATTGATGCATTAATATTGATCGGGGGTGCATTCTCTTCAGAAACAATGTAATCCACTGCGAGCTCAGCGGCTCACATGTCGGGAGTAAATGACGACTGCTGTTCATTATTACATCCAACAACAGAACACCTCAATCGCTTAGGAGTCATTCTTGTCTACATCTGCTCCGGCGGTGAAACAATGGCAGACTGATGACAGTCACTCAGGGCGGGTCTAAGGTAGTCCAGTCCAGTCTGTGCTGAAACGCTACTGTCAATCAAACGATCGTGGGAGGGGCCTGTCTGTGTGGTGTCACACAGACAGGCATCTGAGATCGGCTCGATTTGAGAAAGGGGAAAACATTTAACCAGATTTTTAAAAAAAACACACGGTGGATTTTTATCATTATATGGTGGTTGTGTACACACACTGCCAACACACATTTCAGTTCAAACAACTTGTAAAAGTGCATGTAGCATCCTATGACCCCTTTAATTATTTCCTTTTTTTAAAATACATTTTTAATTATGTGGAACACAAAAGTAGATATTTTTCAGCCATGTTCCTAAGAAAGTGTACAGTGACGTATAAAGCCAAGCTCCAAAAATGACTGATTCTTTAATGATTAATTAATGCAACATATTTTAAAATGAACAATACAAGGTGCGTATACAGTATGTACTGTGTGTGTAAACCATGTTTGAAGTCTCTTCATGTCAGCTTGTACTCCATTCCAGCTTGTGGGAAGTCGTGGTTGTGGGAAGTCGTGGCCTAATGGTGAGAGAGTTGGACTCGTAACCCAAAGGTTGTGGGTTTGAGTCTCGTACCGGCAGGGATTGTAGGGGAGGGGAGTGAATGTACAGCACTCTCTCCCACCTTCAATACCACGACTGAGGTGCCCTTGAGCAAGGCACCGAACCCCCAACTGCTCCCCGGGCGCCGCAGCATAAATGGCTGCCCACTGCTCCGGGTGTGTGTTCACTGCTGTGTGTGTGCACTTTGGATGGGTTAAATGCAGAGCACTAATTCCAAGTATGGGTAACCATACTTGGCCACATGTCACTTCACATTTCATTTCACATTTCATTCACATTCACACAAGTATGACAGAACAAACACAGCAATTATAAATCTAGCACGAAAGCACAATTATCCTTTATATGTGGATAGGAATACATGCTATCCGGCTCTTCCAGGCTTCTGCTAATGTATCGGAAGTCATTCAAAAAGCCAGAGCAACAAATTACTTGTGTTTGTCATGGTCTAGGAAAGATTCAACATCGCTTAAGTACAGAGTATAAAGCAGGCTTAAAGTCGGCCCACCCAGCCGATGGTAAACAGACAGGCCCCACTCTCACGGGACAATCTTTCTGCGTCATTATAATTTCTCTGATACGTCGACAACAATGTCTAAAGCCTTGATTCTGCCTCACATCCGATCTGAAGACTTCATAGCTCATATCTAAACAACAATTTCGACATCTGCCTTTCTGGTTTTGTTTGTTCACTGTAATCTCAGAGGCTCATATTCATAGATGCGAAATGTTTCCCATGGATGTTGAATATGGAAGTCGTGCCAGTTTAATGGCCCACACAGGGAGGCTGGTTCTAGATATTTCTGAAGACATTTTTTCTTTAAAACTTAATATTTCCTTAATATTTTGCTCCCTTTTCATAAATTGATATGTTAGAAAGACCAAAATAATACAATCTCCCATGATTAGCCAGCATAAATTATTGGATTATTAGCCAATGAAATGGACTTGTGGAAAGACCATGGCAACAGGCCACACCCTCTGATCTCTAATGATCAAGATTCACACATCAATGCATTTCCATTATATTAATAAAGCCAACTATTATACTAAAAATAATGAATTAAATCAAATCAAAAGTGAAATCAAATGACGCTCATTTGCATTTGAATAAAACTAGATTTTTCATAATCCAAAATATTAAACAACAGAAAGGAGTTCACTTAAATTCAAGAAAGTGAAATTTAAATAAAGCGAGTAATAATAAAAAAAAAATAATAATAATAATTAAATGTATGTGGATTTAACTTTTACATTAAATAATGGACAATATAAATGTATAATATATAAATTATACGAACGCACATAACTGTAATTATTATATCATTATTATATATTATTATTATAAATAAATATAATAAAAGTTAATTTTAAAAAGTATAGAATTTACTTTTTTTCTTCATATTTTGAATTATCAATAATTCCAAACCCATATAATTGTCCTTCATCTGTGGAACACAAAAGTAGATATAAAAAAAAAAAATTAAAGAAAGTGTAAAGTGATTTATAAAGCCAAGCACCAAAAAGGGGGGGAATGTCTTATTAGTCATAATTTCACAGAGCTGAAGCTCTGAAAAAGTCACACTGACAAAAAAAAAAAAAAGCACACACAAATAATAATAAATAAAAATTAAAAAATAAAATCATAAGAGTCTGAAACAACATGAGAGTCAGTAAAAACTTACAAAATATAATTTTTTGGGGTATTCAATTATTCAGTTAAATTATAGAAATATTCAATTATAACTTTCAATTGATTAAAGTTATTTTAAAGTGACCGACTAATACAAAATTCTATATTGGTAAATCTAAAATTATGCACCAAAACTAGACATAATTTAGTTTTACATTACCATTTTCCACCCTCTCTCTGGTCATATTAAACTACTGTACAGT